GGGAAGGGGGGGGTCCCCCCACGGGCTTGGGGTGGGTCACGCATCGGGCCCGCATCACACCTGCATTGCACGCCCCGGCCCCACGGCACGCCGGACAGACCCACAGTGCCCGTGCCTGGACCCACATCCCACGCACGGGACCCGCACGGCCACGCATCGGGCACACAGCGCGCTGGCCAGACCTGCACTGCGTGTGCCGGACCCACATCCCATGCGCCGGACCCACATCACACACAGCAGACCCACATCCCACCCACCGGACCCACATCACACACAGCAGACCCACATCCCATGCCCTGGACCCTCCCGACATGCTCCAGACCCACATCCCACCCACCAGACCCACATCCCATGCCCCGGACCCTCCCTGCGTGCACTGGACCGACACGTCGTGCACCAGACCCACATCACACACACTGGACCCTCCCTGAATGCACGAGACCCACATCCCACCCACCAGACCCACATCCCCTGCCCCAGACCCTCCCTGCATACACCAGACCCACATCTGCTCGTTGCAGCATCCCAGCGTGTCTCCCGGCACCGTGGGGCGTTGCAGGAGCCGGAGCTGCTGTGCAATTGCAATTTTATTATTTAATGGCTTAATGCTCCATCTCCGAGGGGACACAGGACAGACACGAGGCGATTGATGAGCCGGGTGCTCCTTTTCTCTCCTCCCAGCAAGGTCAGTGCTGCCGGGTTGTCGCACAGAAACCCGCTGCTGTGCGTTTGTTGTGCTTCTGAAATAACCGGCGTCCCCCGATGCCCCCCTCCCCGGGCAGTGGGTGCGTTTATGCCGTGACCTTGTGCGAGAAGGTGCAAATCCTGATTTCCAGGGCCGCGGAGGCGCCTGCCCGGGGGGGGCCCGTGCGTGTGCTCACACCTCGGCAGCGTCGCAGCGGGCTGAGACCGGAGGTTTGGTTTGTTGGGAAAGTAAAAGTAGGCCAGGGCAGCAGTGTGGGGACCCGGGGCTGAGCCTCCGCCACCCCCGTCCTTCTCAGCCCTCGGCCGAGGGGGACGGTGGTTCGGGGAGACGGCGCAGGCGGTTGTGCGGGAAGCTGCATTTCCCTTCCCTGGTTTTGCCTGCGTACCCCGGAGGTCCCTGGCGGAGCACCGGCGTGGGGCGGGCTGGGGGGTGCCACCTCCCGCCTGTTGCCAACCTTCGCAGCCTTGGTCAGACCGCGGGGTCAGGCACCTTCTTTTTAGCTAACGAGGGCCAGGAGCCGCCACCTCCCCGTTCGGCGCTGCGGCCAGGTCAGCTGGAAAAGTGATGAGCTGCATAACCCGATCTGTCCGAATGGTCTCTGTTTTCCTGTAATCTCTGGGTGTCAACTCAGCGTTTTATAACAAACGAGAGAATAAAAGGAGATGCTCCTGTGTTTCGTTACGTGGTACAACAACTCTTAGCAGAATTGACTTTTCTGGTGCTGTTGCATAAACACCCTCTGCCTTTTGTCCCTGCTCTTGCCCCGAGCGCTCCGCTCTGGTGTGAACTGGAGCCTCTCTCCAGGACCCCGGGGAAGCTGTGCCCGCTTTGGGATGAGCTGGAACAGGAGCAGAGTTTCCCAGCCCCTGGAGATACCAACCGCTCCCTTGGAAAATCCCGAGTGGCAGCAAAGCAGCCCCTGTCTCCCAACAGCTGCCCCGTGGCAGGAGGAGCAGCGCAGACACGGTCACCGCTGCGCGCCAGCGGGCCGGGGTTTGCCTCCGGCAGCCGGGACGGTGCCCGCGGCGCTGGCCCCCTCCTTGGCCGCGCTTCTGCCGGATCCTGCTCCTTCCCACCGCCCCCCCCAGCTGCACCCCCAGTCCCTTTTCAACCACAAACCCATCCTGGCATCGCCGTGGGGGGGACGCAGCGCTCTGTCCCACGTCGGCTTGCCGGTTGTTTGCCGTGTTCAGCGCTTTGCTTATTTTTAGTGTGAAGGAAAAGCAGAGCCTGTGTCAGAGAGGCATGAAAAATCTCAGGAGCCCTTTTTGTTCCCCGGAAAAACGAAGCTGTGATTTCCCTTCCCCCTGTTGCTCTCTGCTTTTAATCTTGTTAGTACAGGAAGGCTGAAAATACGGGGAGGGACCCGCAGGGAAGGCGCCCGCCGGCGTGTGCTGGGCGCAGTTCTGCTCCCGAGGTTTCTGCGGAATCGGTAAAGCTGCTCTTAGACTCTCGGGCTTGGTGCCACCGTTGCAAAAGGCTCCTAACGCAGGATGCGTCAAGGAAAACGAGGAAATCCGGCAGCGGGCAGGGTGATGGGAACCCCGGCCAAAGAAGCAGCGAGCGAGAAATCCGGGGAGATGCAGCGGGTGCTGGGCCCCGGGCGGCTGCGTGCCGAGCGCCAGGGCTGCCGAACGGGCCTGTGCCTGCGCTTCGCCGCGTGTTCCCCGCGGGGACGGGACGAGCTGGTGGGGCAGCTCGGGCCAGCGCAGCAGCCGGTTCCGTCTGAGCTCCGAGAAGTGGAGAGAGGCGCCTCGGAGAGCCTGCGGCCGCGCAATCCCCCGAGGAAATCACCGAGGCGATGGCGAGGGGCTCCCCGGGGCTCCCCGGGCCCCGTTTCCCGCGCAGGAAGCCGCTCGGAGGGGCGATACCTGCCCAGCGCCGTCTGTCCCTCGCGGGCACGGCCGGGGGACCCGGCGAGGCTTGGCGGGTGGTGGCATTCGAGCCAAAGGGGCATCTCCGCGGGGCAGCCGTCCCCGAACGGTGGCTGAGCGGCAAGTCTTGGGGAAATCCTCCCCGGGGCGCCGGGCCGAGCCTCGGGGTGCTCTGCTGGGACTCTGCCACCCGTCCCGCTTGGCGACGCGTCGTGGTGTGGTCTGTGGGTCAGCAGTGCCCCACATCCCCTCTGGGGGGGCTCCCGGAGCCCCATGGTGTCACCCACTGCGTGTGGTGGCAGCGTGGGGGGGCGAGCAGCCTGTGCCTGGGGGTGCTGGTGCCAGACACCGGTACTGGTTGCCAGACGGAGTTACTGGTGCAGGTGTGGGGAGCAGCGTGGGGCCGAGCCCTGCGTGGGGCCGAGCCCTGCGTGGGGCCGAGCGCTGCTGACCGCAGCAGGCACAGAAAGTGCTCGGCACGGTCACGGCGCCGTGTGCTGGTGTGGGGGGTCTCCCCCTTCCCCGGGGTGAGAGGCTCTTGTCCCCGGCTGCGCCCCGTCCCACCCTGTACTGGGTAGCAGCTCATGCTGGAACTCCAGTGTTTCCTTACCAAGGACTGTTGCTTTTATTTCGTGAATTCCCCAGGCTGATTCTGTTGCACAGAATAAGCCCTATT